TGAGCACTGAAATAAATCCTTTTTTATTTTATTTTGCTATATTTTATATTTTTCTTCACTTTGGTGAATCATGATCTCCCAGCTCAGATACTCAGATACTTGTCCTTAAATAAGATGCTTAACCCTGATTCTTTTAGTACACATGGCATTTCTAAGCTACCTTTGAAGAAAGGGGTCTTGAATTCCATGTTGGCTTAAGATCACTTGATATGTGAAGGCACATAGTTGGAACCTTCTCCATGACAAGTGGAGCTGTAGTGTCACAAAGTAATTAAATAAAAGATGGACTGGATGCTGAAATAACATGGACGCTGAGGATAAGCTTAGAGCTTAGAACATTAGAGCTTAGAAAGAAAAGAAAAGAATTGTGATCTACAGTACAATCACATGAGCTATGCAGTGCCAGAACTAGTGGAGATACTGTGCGCTCCACTGTAGAGTAGTAGTAGAGGATTTTATTGCCATATGTACATGTACATTGGAATTCTTGCGCTGATTTCTCGGGACATATACAATACATCAGACAACACAGTGCAACAGAGAACACCACACAATGTAGACAGTACATTACAAACATAATAAATAATCACAACAGAACAATAAATATGTAGTACTGGAAAAAAAAACATTGTAGACCATGTTTTTTTCCATGTACTATAAAAAGTGCATAGTGCAAATGTGCATTGAGTCTGAGGCATTGTAGTTAGCTGTTAAGGATGCGTACTGCAGTAGGTGTTTAAATTCACATAGCACTACAAACCTTGCAGGACCAGAATCCTGCAAGAGTCAGAGGTACTTTTCAATCGGAATTAACGCCAAAAAGCAAGTGACTTTGGCTTATTTACAGTAGGTATTTTTTCAGGTCTGTCCATAATTTGAAAGCTGACATAATGCTTTGAATGCTCAGGCTCTCATTTATCCCTCATTTATCTTCTGGAAAGACTCTGACCAATGTTTTAGCAAATGTGTGATATCTCTTTTTATGTGGTCACGGTTTATATTGGAAGTACACTGAAATGCATTTTAGATTGCAGCTCTCCAAGAAAAAAAGGATGTTTATTACACATTGACTGCCTTTCTAGATATTATCTGCATATCAGCAAACTTTAAGTTAATTAAAATAAGCAAAACACTCTATATTTTTTGTTCCACCTATATCAAAGTAATGAGAGGTCATTATTGGTGTTAACTGAATGAGGCCCGCAATACATTAAACGACAAAAAAGCACTTATAAGAAAAGCACTGCTGTCATTTCATTACTACAGGGAAAAATCTTCACAGAACTGTGAACTTTCTAAAAATGTATCAATCACACTTACCGGGACAGGTGTTTTTTTCATAAGCCACGACAGACTGACACAGGAAAAGAGTGATGACTGTTCTAAGAACCATCATTCTGCTGGTCCTATTCTGTCTGCTCTAGGTTGATGAATACCTACTGCACGAGTGAAGGATATATTTATATTAAAGTCACACCAAAACTCATTAGTATAATATTCCCTAATTTGCATTTCAGTGTCATTATCATTTACAATTTTCAATGTTCTTAAAATTCCAATAAAACCTGTTGACTGTTCTCATACATGATTGTGTTCAGCCAAAGGGCGTTTACACAAAAAGAGTGACAAACAAAGAGTGACAAGCTGAATAAATATTTACACTAATAACAGCACAAGGATAGTGGCATTGGAGTTTCCAGCACTGCTGCAAGCAGTGTATGATTTTCGGGGACCTAGTGAGCCATTGGGAGAGGATAGTTGTTTGGTATGATAAAAAAAATAAAATATCTGCTGTATATTGCATTATATAGCATACTCATGTGTTTTTACAGTCCACGTGAAATTAGACTTGTAATAAATGTAATGTAGTGTAAATTACATTAATGTAAATGTAATAAAACTGTAGTGTGATGTGGCTCCTCTCTTTCTGCTCTGCACATGCTGCGAGTGCAGTTTGCCACACTCGCTACAATGGCCGCATAACTGGAGCTGCAGACGGATGTCAGACAGATTCAAAAATATCTCCAAATTTAGCTTTTAATGACACAAACTGGCAAAAACAATACACAAACGAATGCTGTGGGAGTCACTGATTGTGTTGTTTGTTGGTGGCAGACATGTCATAGACCACCCTATTTTATCAGCTTTGTTAGTCTCCAAATGTGTACAGTGATGCGAAAAAGAAAGTACAGTACGCCCTTTTAAGAATCTATGGTTTTACATATTGTAACAAATGGGGGATTATGAAAATGGTGAAAATCAGGAATTGACCGAGCAGTTAGTCAATAAGTAAAATAATTATTCATAAATCCAATTTTTAAGTGATTTCTCCAGAATATACCTGAGCAGTTGGTATAATTAGAGAAAAACAATGAAGGTACAATAGAATGACCCCGCTGATTTGCTAAGGATTCGAATGGAAAAGGCATTGTTAGGTGGGCATCTCAGTACTGCGAAGCTTAGTAATATCAGAGCACATAATAAACGGGGAAAAGCCTTAAATAGTCTGCTCAATTACATGAGATTGGGAAGGTCAACCTGATTGAAAAACTAGTATCCAGGGCATAACATATATTATTCTATTTGTAGGGATTTTTATACTTTATAAAAGTATAAAGGCCAAATATTTAACATATATATTTAACATACATATATTTAACATATATATTTTAATTATTCAAAATATTTTCAGGAACACTTTACTGATATGGTTTTTGTGTACATACAAACAGTTTGATAATAATTTGCATTTCAGTGAACTGTGTTAGTACTCTGAAAAAAATAATTATTCAACAACAGAGAAAGTCACATGAATCAATAGATACATACTGTAGCTGAGCACATTGTTATTTGATGTTAAACAAAGTTGGTAAAATACTGGGAAATTCACCAGATGTCTTAACTTATTTAGATCCTGTTTCTTACAATCAATATTTTCTTAGTATACAGCACAGTACATGTAAATTATCTTTTCGTGAGTGCTCCATTAACTTAATTAATTCCTCCCAACACTGGTTGTAAAGTAAAAAGTAAATTGCAAATGTTTGTACAGTAAGTATTAAAAACATTGGTTATACTGTATTTGTTCAAGATTAGAATGGCCTTAAATTTAATAAGCACCTAGAGAGAAATTATCAAATTAATAGTACAGTATGATACAACCTGCATGGTCCATAAACTGTAAGTTAAATAAAACTGTTACATTAGTAGGCCTCTATTCACTTCACTTTCCCCAGACAAAGTCATCTCCACGCTGGTTGGAGACAGAATGTTTTTTGAAGTACAGTAAATCAGCCCAATCTCTGCGTGAAAAAACTGTGTAAACGGTGCAGAACCTACTGGTTAAAATTTGAACTTGTCTTTAGAAAATCAACCACACATACATCAAGCATCTGAATTTAAGAGTATTCTGAATCTGTCTTGTTTCCTTTGTAAACAGTCAATACAAGAATTGCATTTATAATAGCTCTGGAGTTTGAAAAATTCACATATAACCTGAGGAGAACCAAGCAGAACCCATATTGCCATTTTAGAAATATTCATCACTAATATTTAGTTGAGACTGAATAAGATCCTTTACTTTTCTATTTAATATAAATTTAATACAAGCTTTGGATATCCAGCACCTTAGTGATTAAATATAGAACACCTCTTTGCACAGGAGAGGAGGCATCACCAATCAGAAAATACTGATTTGTATTACTGTACAGACAGTACATACTTACTGAAGGTTGTTTCAGTTTTACAAGCGCTACCAAAACTGTGCTCATTTGCACACTGTGCAAAATGTTCTCGAACAGTTTATTGGATGTAAATACAGCGAAAACCATGCCAGTCAAGTGCTTTGAAGAATGTTATGAATAAATAACATTTGGTTAACTATAAAACATGTTACCTAGAAGTTGAATCTAATTTGTACTTTATAAATCAAAGTTCCTAAATGCATTTCAAAGCACAAGATTCAACCATAAGCACCAAAGGATCTTTAAAAAAAACCTAGGGTAAAAGTTGTGGAAAACCAAAGATCAGGGATGGGCACAGAAAATTTCAAGAACTTTGAATGTTGAATGAACTGTTGTTGTGCCCTTAAATGCTAGTATTATTGGCAACTAATAATATTATCCATTATCCTTATGACAAAATCCTTGAGAATAATTAAGGTTTCCTACTGTGCTGCTCCTTGATCAATCTCACACTTTGGTCTGATTTTCATATTGCTGTACTTAGAGAAATAATTGAATCTTTTATAGGGTAACAGTTGATTTAATTGGAAAAACTATGATGTCCCCTATTAATGTTGGCCATACAACAGTTGTTATACCATCAGGTAACTGCATACAGAGTGGCACAGTTAACAGCAATATAAGTATCACTTATGAATTACAAAACATTTCAAAGACATTATACATTAAATACTGTAGAAGTTATTTTACAAACAAAAACTAAAACAAACATGATATTTCAAAACTGTTAAAATTTAGAAAGACAACTGCATACCACTGCACACAGTTTGTTAAGGAATTTGTTAAGGAACCAAATTATTTGCTAAGGAATTTCACAGTAAGACCTTAGTTACCTTATAAGGAAAAGAAAAACCTTTCAGGCGATGCTGTAGCCATTTAATGTAGTTACATGTAAAGAAAGTTATGCAAATCATTACTGTTTATTTCCAAGATACATTTCAAGTATTAAAGTAAACAAAGATAATTAGTTTACTTTAAATTCTGTAATATAATTTAATATTTGAATTGATCATGAAAGACATGAATTACAGTACATCCTAGGAGGTCAGTGTACGAATAAAAAGTGTGAACTTACTGTACCTGCAGTATCGCCCACGAAATTTCCCAGAAGCTGACTGCTATTCTCCCAGAATTTTAAAGAAGTCATATTTTGTCTACATCCTTAATTAGAAGTTCCCTTTAATACAAGACAGACAAAACAAAACTTCAGAAAATGAATGAAATTACTTCTACAAAATTTCAATGGGTAAGCATAGACTATTTCTCTCATGCTTTTGCACAATAGTTTGTCTATAAATGCGATTTGTGCCATTATTCAGGAATATTTTTTTATTAGATTAACAAGAAATTTGTTAAAACTGGCATGATCTAGAATGCTTTGGCTTTTTTTACTCATTTATTAATATGAATAGGACTCCAGAAATTGTGCTTAGACTGAATCAGTGACATCTCATCATGTCTCACTGCTCAGAGTTGTTCAACAGGGCTGTGGAACTGAGGCCATTAGTGTTTGCTCAATAACTTGTCAACACTACCCCCACTGATACTCTAGTGTCACGAAATGTAATCTTTTGTAGATTATATTCTCCCATTTCTTTCTGATATTTCTCTTTCAGCCCTCCATAGTTAAAGCATGTTAAACTTAATAAATTTAGTATAATGTAAAATGAATTTGTTATTAAAATCAATCCTTATGTCTTTCAATCCCCAATAATGACATCTCTTTCTGCTACTAACCTTATTCCTTCTCACTGCTCCCATGTTAATTTTTTGAATGAAGATCTTCCCTACTTTGCAGAACATTTATAAAGACAATGTCATGAATAATATTAAAGAATAAACAACCAGAGTTGTACAGTCTACACATTATAGCATGATTTCCATTAAAAAACAAATATACCTCCTTTTATAAAAACTCTTATTTTTCATGATACTTCTTTCAGATATTAAAAGTTGTTTGAAAAGGAAACAATTAAATAAAGAATACTGAACGATTTCACTTGCTTAATTTATTTGCAAGAATACACCTTCAGCAGAGAACATCTGAGACCAAGGAAAGAGCGGGAATACGGTTTCAAAAGAACTAATCATGAAATAATTTCTTGTGTAAATTAGAAGATACGAAATAGTCTCTGTCATAAAAAATAAGTTAGAAAGAAAAAACAGTGCTAGACTAGAAGACTCTGCTGAGGCATTCAGGGCATTAATATCATAAGCTGCATTCCAGTGTTGGTAGAAATGTGCAAATCCAACCACTCCCCTTTCGAAGGAACTATTATGATGTTCAGTAAAGGTATTTTTCTTACTGTCTTTTACCCTAACCTAGAAGATTGTGAAACATTTAAAGCTAAGATGACCCTGGAGAATTTGGTTTAAATTATTTTTTGGAAATAAAAAATAAGATGTTAATGGAGTGAATGGATTCCATAAAAAGTGCCTGATGAAGATCAATATTAGAAATAGAAGTATTATATACTGTATGAAATTTTTATAAGGAAAATAGGAATTAGGGTGGAAGTAAGCTGCATGCACAAATACGGGCGGGTGGCAATCTTAGTAACAAAATAAATACAGTAAAAGAAGAAAAGGAAAAAAATACATGAAATATGTTAGATTAAAATATATTTTAGAGAAAGAAGGAATCTAATATGAATGACCATTTGTTTCAAAGCTTGATAAAACATAATATTAAGGCACAACAAACAGAGTTCCTAAAAATATATAGTTCTATACACCTTCATGTAGGACAGCTCCTAAAATAAGAATGTTTAATGGAAAATGTTTCCTGTTATTTTTCTTTTAACTTACC